TCCTTTCTCCTCCCAATCTTTAATAAGAATCAAATCTAGAAAATATAACTAGACGTATTCATGGATGATGCAAAATATATTTGCAACAAAAAATCTAGTGTCCCAATGCAGTGAAATGCTAAATCTTTTCTCATTATGCCACAAAAAAAAATTTTTTTTTTATTCTGGTAGCTTCTCAACAAAAAAACTGTGAGCAAACAATGTCTTCAAGGTGAGTTTAAAAATAGAAACAATTTTTTAAAAAAAACAACCAACAACATCAAACGCTCAACAAAAGCAGCATCCCTCTTGTCAACAACCAGTTTTTTCAACTTTAAAAAGAAAAATTCTAAAGTCAAAAAAGAACAAAAGAAAAATGTATGTGAATGTGGGACAGAAATCAACCATTAAAGCGAAAAGGCTAATCTATCTCACTTCTTCTGAGAAATGACTTCATTCACACAGCAATAAATGAAGCAAAAGATCTAGCACATACTTGGCTAGTTAGTTCACGTTGGTTAGTTGTGAAAACCTAACCCATTTCATCGGTTTATGCCTCACCGCACACCGGAAACCTGGGTGTTGTTCAAACAGAATCATGGACTGTGAATTGCCTGAATTCTTTGGGGCTGAAATTAAATCATGATTAATTTGCCATTGATTTTGATATGTTCCACAGGCAACTAATTCCATGATGAAGATTAACACATCCTTGGCCAACAAAGAAGTTACGCATTGATTTAGGGCAGAATGATGTGACACACTACCACGTGACCAGTTTTGGTCACCATGAGTAAAAAAGATGTTGAGATTCTAGAAAGAGTGCAGAGAAGAGGAACAAAGATGATCAGGGGGCTGGAGGCTAAAACATATAAGGAACGGTTGCTGGAATTGGGTATGTCTAGTTTAATGAAGAGAAGGACGAGGGGGGACATGATAGCAGTGCTCCAATATCTCAGGGGCTGCCCCAAAGAAGAGGGAGTCAAGCTATTCTCCAAAACACTTGAGGGCAGGACAAGAAGCAATGGATGGAAGCTAATCAAGGAGAGAAGCAATCTAGAACTAAGGAGAATTTTCCTGACAGTTAAAACAATTAATTAGCAGAGTAACGTGCCTCCAGAAGTTGTGAATGCTCCAACCCTGGAAGTTTTTAAGAAGAGATTGGACAACCATTTGTCAGAAATGGTATAGGGTTTCCTGCCTGAGCAGGGGGTTTGGGCTAGAAGACCTCCAAGGTCTCTTCCAACTCTGTTATTCTATTATATTCTAATGCATGAGACTTGTATTGACTGGTCCAGTGTGTTTTGTATCACAGGAATATTCAGACAGTTCACGAGCCTGGACAGTTAGAAAAGCAAACTGTTGCTTCCTAAAAACCATTATACATAGCAATGCTACCTTGAGTTGGAAGGCAGAAGTCATTGGTAACTCTTTCTATCAAGGTTTGGCATCTCGATGTCCTTCGTAACATCTAGTGGCCAAAGGACCTTCTCTCTTCTATTATCAACCAGTCATATCTGAGAGAGTTGGGATGCTCCGTTTTACAGCTCTAAAGCATTGGCATCCCAGAGAATTTAGAAGACATGTCTTCTCCACAGCGATGCCTCTCCTTTGGAAGAGCATCCCTTCCGGGTCCTTGACTTTACTGGGATTTTGGCTCTTCCAACTGGCCTTGGAATAGAATGCAGTTACCTAGTATTTGGTAGGCCACCTATAATTCCTTAGTCAGATGGATGGATGGATGGATGGATGGGAGAAAGGGAGAGAGAGAGAGAGAGAGAGAGAGAGAGAGAGAGAGAGAGAGAGAGAGAGAGAGAGAGAGAGAGAGAGAGAGAGAGAGAGAGAGAGAGAGAGAGAGAGAGAGATATTTATAGCCACCCATCTCAGGAAATAATTAGGTGACTCACGATGGATGGATGGATGGATGGATGGATGGATGGGAGAAAGAGAGAGAGGGGGGAGAGAGGGAGAGAAAGGGAGGAAGGGAGGGAGAGAGAGAAAGAGAGAAAGAGAGGGAGGGAAGGAGAGAGAAAGGGAGGGAAGGAGAAAGAGAGAGAGAGAGGAAGGGAAGGAGAGAGAAAGGGAGGGAGAGGGAGAGAGAGAGAGAGACCCATCTCAGGAAATATAGGCGACTCACAATGGATGGATGCATGGATGAATGAAAAAGAGAGAGACAGAGAGAGAGAGAGAAAGGGAGGGAGAGAGAGAGAGAGAGAGATTTTAATAGCCACCCATCTCAGGAAATAATTGGGCTACTCACAATGGATGGATCGATGGATGGCTCCCTTTTTATAACCCTGTAATCCATATCTGGGGTAGAGTTGGGGTGACTGAATGGAGCTGAGCATTTATGGCCAAATGCCCTTCCTGACACCTATGCCGAGTTCACAGCAGATATGTTTTTTTCTTTGCATCCTAGGAGAGAAACATCTGCTCCTACCTAAGGACTGAACCCTCAACCTTCCAAGTGGAGGCAAGTATCTTCTTCACCCCCAGGTCACCACCATGCCACTCAATAGATAAATAGATAAAGAATGGAATTCCATTGTTGGATTCTACATTGGGTATAGAAAGTTCTTGCTTTTATTATTCTGGTTTTCCGCATTATTTTTCTGCAACAAAGGACTACAAATTCAACACCGAGCAAGAGAACAACATATTTCCAGTCCCTTTTTTTTAATATATGGTTTTATAGATTTCAACTATATTTCCCTTCAGGATCTAGAATTGCCTGCAGGAGCTGTTTTTGCTATAAATTGCCATAAGTTCCCATCTGCTACATCCACTGAAACTATCCAGACTTTTAAAACCTACAGTTAGATGTTGGATGTGTAGGTACACCGTATTTTATTCCAACTCTTAGTGGAGCACAGCCAGCTCATGGCATCCAGGATTACTTAAAATCTTGGCCACTTTTGTGATGTTGGTGGTTAACAAAATGAGAAAATTCTAGCTACGTTCCAGAGGCACAGAAGCTAAGCATTTACATCTCCTACTAAAATTAACAGCTCAGAAATGTGGAGGGCAGCAAACTTCCACCAATGCTTCTCTCTACACAAACGATTTCCCCTTCGTTGTTCAACTTTCGTTCTTATTATCTGCATTATTAACTTAATAGCCAACCCAAAGGAAAGCAAAATACTTGATATTTGCTGTAGCACATGGACACTCTAAAAGGGCCACTAACTAGAATTAATAGTAAAATTAAAACACCATAAAAAGAAGCAGCTGGAATGCTTTTTTAAACATTATCTTCCTAGCCTCTCCACTCATAAACAGGTGTTAAGACCGGTCCTAAATCATTCAGACAGCGGATTCACAGGGAAGCTTCATTATAAGATAAGAAAGAGACCGATATGTAAGAACGAAGGGAACCAACGCGTACATGTGACACGGACAAAACTTTTTTTCCCAAATGAAGACACCAGTCACAGAAGTGTGTTGGATCATCTGTCCGGTTAGCGATCCGTTGCCGCAGGTGAGAACATCAAAATCCTAAACCTAAGGAACGCGGCAGCTGTGTCGTTTGTCCTGCTGACAATTCTAATTAAGATGAAATGGACTTTCTTCAGAAAATGGGCAGCCTTTTCACGTACGAATGACCCTATTGGCGCAACAAGACCAAACAGTCACATAATTTCCATCGTGATTAATCACGCAATTCTATTTGTTCACGTCCTGCCCACTAGAATCCAACCAAGGCATCAATTAACCAGTAATATTTTGAGATTGCCACAGGTAGAGATGTCCTAAGAAGACATATCCATCGGGTTTTTAAACATACGCATCTCGTAACGGAGCAACTGCAAAAATGGTTAGAGAGGGCAGCCCCACCACTTCGACATTTTTATGCTTTTGGGGGGGCCAATTTCTTTTTAACCGGGAGTTTCAGACTGATGGGGTTGATAGACCAACATTGACTTTAAATTGAGGAAGGAAAGTTTCTCTGGAGCCTACTGCCAATCCTACTGCACCAAAAACAGTTTAGGTCTTTGTCCAACTGTTGAAAAAGAAATACTCCCAAAGTTGTTATATTGCTTGACGGCTGGCTATTTCCTTTTTCAGAAGAGGTGGTAGAACATGGGAACCCATAACTAGGATAGTCATAAAGACTTTCTAGACAATTCACCTCCTTCAATAGCTAAACAATCAGAAGGAGCAGTTACAAGTTTAATACTGAATTCTTTGTACCCCAACATAACCCTTCAACTCAGATGTAACATCTTCCAAACTATCCATTTGTAAAGATTCCTATTTACCCCGTTAAAGTGATTTTATAATAATAGCCCGGGAACAGCCATGGAAGTTTGCAAATCGTTTCCCTAGGACACGAGATCGAGCTTAAACAAAAAAACTTGCAGCTCAAATCCTTCCACAAGTCCTGTCCCGCAGATGGCTGAGTCTGACAAATAGTTCCCAGGGCTTGTTCTTAGGATAGCAGGCCTAATTGTTTTGAAAAGTTGCTGTGTTGACATTCTTCTCCAAATAAGTATTTTTGTATCAGGGATCCAAGCCAATGAATAATGCCAGGAGCATTTCCTTGCACCTCTTAGTATTTCTGAGGAAACATGCTCATGATTTGTGTTGCTTCCCAGACATGGGTGTGGAGAGATAGAAGCAACAGTTAATTTCCTCCGAAAGCTTTCCAGTCACTGTTTTAACTCCCAACCTAGCTCTTTGCCAATGGAGAAAACTTTTCCCAGGAATACGGGCAAGTGGAGAAGACTCGAGCATAAGTTCGGGAAATTCAAATTTTAAAGGAAAGGGAAGACCCTGGACGGTAACCCCAGATCTTCAAGGAAGGGTGAAACTTCAGCCTCACGTCCAATGTTTTCCTTGCCTTCTCTTCCCACAACCCTACAGTTGTCCCACCCTTAATATTAGCTTCAGGCATCTGTCCCTTCTTACTTCTTCCTTGCCTTCGGGTCCACCTGTCAACCGCTCAGATAAGGCTTGGCCTCCTTCACCCCCAAAGCCATTTCCCCCACCCCCTCCCACCAGCCACCGAGAAGGGGACTTACCAATGGTGGTGATGACTGTAATGGCAAAGTAGAAAGAGCCGGCAAATTTCCACTGGACGCCGGCCCGGTGGGGTTCCGACTGCATGATGATCTCTTCCAGCTGCTGGTAATCGTCGCTGGTGATGTTGTATTTCCCCTTCAGCCGAGTCTCCTCGGCTTTCAGCTGCTCCTCCTCGCGCAGCTCGTGCTCCGACTCCAGGGCGTCGAAGACCGCCGCCCCCACCAGCAGGTAAGTGAACGTGCAGATGATCAGCGAGAGAGTCCGCACGTTCTGCCTCTTCATGGCCGCCAGGAAGGGCCCACGGAGGGGACCATGTCCCCCCCTGGCCGCCCGCGGATCCGACAGGGTGGCCCCGAGGCAGCCGCCCCGCCAGGCGAGCAGTGCGGGGCGGCGGAGGCGGCGGCGGCGGCGTGCAATAGGGCTCCCTCCCCGCGGCGGCTGTCCGTGGTGCTGAATCGGCGGCGGCGACTGCTCTCCGCCTGCGTGGTCGGCTTCCTGGGAGGCGGAGAGGCAGAGGAGACTGCTGGAGCGTCTGGCCAGCGGAAGGCGCAGCCGGCAAAGCCTGCGCAAGAGCTGCGCAAAGCAAGCCGTCCCGGCGCGCAGGGCCATCAACGGCGCCTCTGCTCAACAAGCCAGCTTGGAGCCGTCAGGAGGGGAAGGGAGGCTCCGGCCCGCCTGGCCTCAGCCGGAGCTACGCTTTCTCTCGCCCAGCCCAGCCCAGCCGCCCACTCTTGGCAAACTCCCGGCCCCCGTCGAGCCGCTGGCGCGGAGAACTCCCGGGCTCTACTTCTCTCTCTGTCTCTCTCTGTCTGTCTCTCTCTCTCTTCTCTTTCCTGCGGGCGCTTCCTTTCCGAAGCTTGCTTACTCCGGGGCAGCTCTTAAGCCCCGGGAGGGGCGGAAGGATGCGGAGGTCCCATCAGAGGGGCTTAAATGAGGTATGCCTGGGAGGGGGAGGCAGAGGGGAGAGGAGCCCCATTCGAAAGACGGCCGAGAGGCACGCCTCTTCCAGCCCGGGCAGGGCTGGGCTGTCTCTGCAGAAGCGGCCGGCGGGTGGGCAGCGGTGCCCAGTCCAGGGGTGGTTTTCCCGGAGGAGGCTTCCCCGGCATCGGCCAGGCTCCCGGAGCTGAGAGGGGACGGAGAGAGAACTTCCGGGAAGGGAGAGAGCGACTGACCACAGCGTGCAAACCTCGAGTCTGCCTTAGATCCTCCTCCTCCTCCTCCTCTTCCAATCGCTCCCCGAAAAAGTGTAAGGGGGAAATGAGATGCAAATGTTCGCCAAGCAGGAGCAGCAGGAGCCAAAGATCAGCCCACGGTAAAGGCCACCCTGGAGCAGCTGCTGTGCCCAAGGTGTCCTGCGCGCAAAGCCTTGGAGAAGAAGCTGGGCATCCCTCTACAGGCCGGGAAGCTCCGCTTGAGCCTAAAACCCCTGAACCCCCAAGCCTGCCCGGGCCTGGAGAAGGAACAGTGGCGGAGAATGGGGAGCGCTGGCTTCGCTTGCTCTTTGCCTTCTCCTTCTCCGCCCTCCGCCCGCTCAAGCTCTCCTCTCGCTTAACTCAACTTTGGAGAGACTTGCTCCGCTAGGGGAAAGGCTGGGAGGGGGGGAGGAGGAGGCGGGAGAGCCCGAAGGAAGAGACCCGCCCCTCCCCTCCCCTCCCTTCCCTTCCCTTCCCCTGCCTGGCGCTGGCCGCTGAACAAAAGAAACGCTCCGGAGGGAAGGTTTGGCGCGGCAAGCGACTTCGGCGGAGCGGGCTCCTGACTCCGCCCGGTTGCTTTCGGCCTGCCTGCCTGCCTGCCTGCGTGGCCACCTGGGCGGAGGGCGAGGCGAGGCGCGGCGCATCGATCAGGCAAGGCTGGGGCGTCCGCGGAGACAGGTGTGCGTGCGGGAGCCTCGGTTCGGCAGGTGGCCTTTTGCGGAAGGGCTCACCCTTCCCCAAACGGGAGAGAAAGAGAAAGAGAGAGAGCAGCGAGGAGGAGGAGGAGAAGGAGGAGGAGGCTGGCCGAGCGATCCCCGGCTCTGCTTTGCGCTTGGAGTCGCTTGCAAGGCTGCCGCGCCTCCTCCCCTTTGCATTCGTTTCCTTTCCTTCGGCAGGCGACAGAAACGGGGGGGGGGGGTTACGGCTGGTCCCGATCCCGCAGCAGCTGTCCGAGGCTCCCTGCTGGAGAAAAAAGGAAGGCATCCAGATTAAGGGGTCGCAGAAGAGGGAGGGGGGTCGCTGGCCCTTCCCCACCCCACCGGCCGCCCTCTCCTCTTCGTCTGGACTGGAGGAATCCGGGCGGTTTGCAAGAGTGAGCAGCTCCGGCTTTCGAGGAGCGAAGAGCCGCCTCCAGCCTTTCCAGCCTCCCCCAGGATCGAGACCGGGGGGGGGGCGTGGGGAGGGGGGTGAACAACAGGGGAGGAGGCAGCCTCTCCCCTCCGGGTCTACTCGCGATCCGGTCTCAAAGAGTTGAGATGGAGTAGGGGGGAGTAATGCCACGGCTTCGTTCCGGGGCCACCACCACCACCACCCCCAGCCTCCCTGGTTCCCTGAACCAAAGCCAGTCCTGGGGGAGAGAGAGAGAAGAAGGCAAACCCCCCCCCCACCACCACCACCGTCGTCTCCCATCCACCCACCTTGTCTGGCGGAGGGAAGGAGCCGGACTCCTCGCCTGCCGAGTCTTTATTCTGCTGGCTTGCGATCCACGGGCCTCGTTGTCTCCGATCCTGGCCCCGCCCCGCCCCCCCCCCGAGCCGGCCGCGCCCCCTCGGTTCGGGGTTTTAAATCCGGCTTCTAAGGGTGGGGAGTGGGGGGGGGCGCTTCCCAGGCTGATCCCAAGGCTTCCTGTCCTCCTGCTTGGTTGCCGCGTAGCCAGGTGGAGGAGGGGGTTCTGAGCTGTTCGGTGGACGCTGGAGAAACATCTGGAGAAGGTGGACCCCTGGCCTCCTTTACCTCGGCTGCCGGTTCTTTCCCAGCCCTGAAGCGGAAAGTCAACGGCACTGGCTTACTCCTTGTTTAAATGAAGAGAAGGACGAGGGGGGGGACATGATAGCAGCCTTCCAATATCTCGGGGGGGGCTGCCCCAAAGAAGAGGGAGTCAAGCTATTCTCCAAAGCGCCTGGAGGCAGGACAAGAAGCAACGGATGGAAACTCATCAAAGAGAGAATTAACCTAGAACCAAGGAGAAACTTCCTGACGGTGAGAACAATTAACCAGTGGAACAACCTGCCTCCAGAAGCGGTGAATGCTCCAACGCTGGAAGTTTTAAAGAAGAGACTGGACGGCCATTTGTCCGAAATGGTATAGGGTTTCCTGCCTGAGCAGGGGGTTGGACTAGATGACCTCCGAGGTCCCTTCCAACTTTATTATTATTATATTATATTATATTAAAACTCTGGGTTTGCTTTCCCCCCCCCCCAGAGTTGGCTGCAAACTCATTGAGCTGTACTCGTAGAGTAAGCCTGAAGTTGTCTACTTTGAGGTAAGTGAATGGTATCTAGACCAGGGCTTTTCAACCAGTGGTACGGGTACCACCTGTGGTACACTGGCACCTGGCAGGTGGTATGCGACCATCCTAGAAAAGTGGTAGTGGGGGAGGGGAATGAGCTGAACCGATGGCAGCACCGCACAAGCCTGAGCAAGAGATGGCTGGAGCTGCAGGGCTGTCAGGGCTCAGCGGAAGTGCCAGGATCAGTGCCGCTTTCCAGCTGATCGACGCTTCTTCGGGTCTGTCAGGGCTCAGTGGAAGCACCAGGATCAGCGCCAGGCTCCAGCTGGAGCTCGCCACTGATCCTGGTGCTTCTGCTGAGCCCAGAAGAAGTGCCGATCAGCTGGAATGTTGCAGCATCTCCAGGATCTTGTCATTTACATTCAGATGCTTGGCAACTGATTCATATTTATGACAGTCACAGTGTCCCAGGGTCATGTGAAGTGACCAAAACCTGCTGCAACCACCCAGCAGATGGGGGGGAATAAAAACCAAACACCCCCCACCCCACCCCCACTGCCAATCCTCAACAGAAATGCTCACAACAATGAAAACCTCGGACAGGAGGAAGAGCGCCGCTGGGTGGGCAGGCAGGTGTCTTGCTCAGCTGTGTCTTGGGGGGCACTTTTTTCAGTGCCATTGTAACTTCGAACAGTCACTAAGTGAACTGTTGTAAGTCGAGGACTATCTGTACTTTATCACTTTTTTCCTTTTGGGGGGGGTGTCATCAAGTTTTTGACACCTTGCTAGGCGACTGGTGATACTCGGATGCTGCCATATCCTAAAAGTGGTACAATGGGTGAAAAGGTTGAAAAGCCCTGCTCTAGACTATCTGAAACTTCAGGCTCAAGGAATGGAGCAGAAGGCCCTGCTCTGGATGAACTTCAGATTCACTTTCCTGTCTTCCTGGGTAGAGCTGGTGTCTTCAATCACACTCCCAAAGATGCTTTTTTCAAGAGGCAACTGGACTTTCTTGTTTTTCTTTGAAGACGTTTCGCTTCTCATCCAGGAAGATTCTTCAGCTCTGACTAGATAGCCAGGAACAGAAGGATTTATACTCCTTGCAGACAGCTGTCAGAGCTGCAGAAGCTTCTTGGATGAGAAGAGAAATGTCCTAAGAAAAATAAAGTCCAGTTGCCTCCTGAAAAAGCACCTTTGGGACAACCATGACCTGGATGACAGAGAATACACATTCAATCACACTCACATCTCTGTTACAAAGAAGGCAGTCACTAAAATCACCAAAGAATCCACAATATTGCAGAGAAAGTAGATCCAAAATCCTTAGTTGGAATCTAAGATTTAGTTTTAATTCAGGCTGAGTTGTTGCATTTGCTTCTTTATACTTTGCATTCCTTAACTGCCCATCCCTCTCAGACAGGGGCTCTGGGTGGTCTACATTCTACAAAATAATAAAATTTCCAAAGCTTTTACATTCTTTTGTTAAAAGTTAAGACACGAAAGCAATTGCCTGTGTGAGAAGGAGACCGCAAAGCTACAAAATTAAAGCACTGAACAAGAACAATTGTCACCTCTTAGGATTACACAAGGAAAGGAGGGGAAACATGTTTATAACAGGTTTGCAAATATCTGTTGCTCACATCTTGAAAAGTCAAGGATGATGAGGTTTTGCTGCTGAGGTTTTGTGTGGTGGCAAAGCTGAATCTCCCAAAGTTTGCGGTGTGAAACACCCATCAGGATGCCAAAGAAACAAGGCTGGAGGGCAGTGGTGATGAACCTATGGCACACATGCCAGAGGCGGCACTCAGAGCCCTCTCTGTTGGCATGTGCGCCACCATCGCCAGTAGCAGGTCCATCAG